GTGATAAAACAATGACAATGTTAAATTTTCCTGCAGTGCTGCTAGTAAAGTTCCCCCCTTCAGGTCAAAACAGCTGTTTAGATATTCTCATAATTGCTTGCGGTGGCCCCTTTAGTCGCTCGGGCCTGGGCCTAGGGCACATAAAACCTGTTGGATGACCCGGGCCTGTACAACAGAGTCAGTGAGCTTGTGTCTGCAAAATGAAAGCTGCTGGAACAATAACACTCTGAAACACATCAGTCACTTTCTAAAAAAAATATGGTAACACTTTCTATGGATGTCACCTTTGTAAGCATCTATAAACACATTTATAACATGTTATAATGTATTCATAAGGCATTATAAACATGGTTATAAATATTTATAAAAAGAATTATACTGAATTACACTTTATAGCCATGTTTACTATACATTATGAATTGTTAATATAATGCATTATAAATAGTATTAGTAACATGTTATAATGTCAGTGCCAAAGAAGTCAGTCCCAGCTTGGAGAGTGTAAAGTAAAGACAAATACCAAGCTAACGGTGGTGTACATTACCTTTCCCACATTGGGTAAAACACTGATGGCAGCTCTAGTTTAAACTCTGACATTTGAAGCCTGTAATGTGCTTTACTGTGAATGTTTTAGTGTTTCAGTAAATCCTTCAGTAAATACTTCAACTTGAAGCCTCACTCTGAACACTGGAGGAGGCTTTAGTACAGTACACTTCACTTTACTTAGAGCGGATAAATATAACTTATGAACTCTTATAATTTGTTATGATCAGTACTTATAATGTATTATGTTAACAATTCATAATGCATAATAAACATGGCTATAATGTGTAATGCATTTTTATAAATATTTATAGCCATGTTTATAATGTCTTATGAATGCATTATAACATGTTATGAATGTGTTTATAGATGCTGACAAAGGTGACATTCATAGAAAGTGTTAGCAAAAATACTTTGCAAAAAGAAAACAACAGTTTCAGAATGGTCTGTTAAAGCAGCACTATGTATAGTAGCATTACTCAATCAGGGGAAAAAGAACAGGCTAAACTATGGGGGTGGTGTGCAGCTGCAAGTCACCCTGTGCAACCTGGAATAATAATTAAACAGTCAGAGGCGTCGTGTTTGATTTCACAGGAGTTTTTGAACTATGTCAAACGGGCTATGTCTTTACATATTAACGTCACATGCACAGCCTCACAAGGAAGATCAGGCTCAATGTTTGAAAACCCCAACAAATGGCAGCACAACTGGAGCTTTCCTGACATGAAAAGGACAACTGGCACCATAACAAATAGCAGGTAAAAACAATAAAAACACGTTCATTAATGTTGATTTTGTTAATCATACACATTTTCACTAAAATGTATTCCATCATATTGCTCCCAATATCATGTTTTTTAAAGAAAAAAAATGTATAGTTCAACTTAAGGACCTTCCAAAACAATGAAAGAGATCTATGTCTATATTGCTGGTCTTAAAAGGACACTAGTATAAGCTGAATACTGTCCACTGTGCATAAACTGCATGTTAGAGAAGCGTGCAGTTCTATGGCTGTGGCAGTTAACTATTTTTAGCATATTTGTCACCTATGCACACTAACACAGGGAATTTATTTTCATGCTTGAGATTCCCCCAGGGTAGCAGAACGTATGAAAAAGTCGTCCCTTCCTCGGGGTTCTCCTGCCAGGCCACTAAAATAGCTTTTAATGATGCACAAAAAAACCTTGCTTATGAATTACTAGATCTCACACATCGTCCTCATGTAGAGACTTTGCTGCCCTTTTTTGTCCTGCGTTCTCTCGTTCTCGTTCTTTCTTTCTCTCTCCTTGGGTATGAAAAACATGTCCACTCTGTCAGTCTCGATTTGCTAAAAACTGACACGTTCTGTCATCGGCCTGACCTCGTCGTGTCAGTTTGAGTTTGTGTGTTTCCAGCCATAGCTTAGACTTGCACCAAGACCACAGACAGCGACCCCTGGTTTTTTATACTAGGTATGGTTAAGGATGAGGCTAATCTTACACCTTGTCAAAGTGCTCCGGTGTGCAAAATATACATAAATATAAAATAAATCAAATGTAAGTGTCAAACTTGACACTGGTGAATAGTGATAAAGTGCTCAAGTGATGAGAACATTGAAAATATTGCATAGAAAATAGCTGCACTTTTTAAGACAGAGGACATAGGTTCCAATAAATATGCCTCAGTCTGTGTGTATGTTCAGGAGTTCAATAGTCCTGATAGGCCAGCATGTTGTGTACTGTTAGAGGGAGTTGAGTAGTCTGATGGCCTGTGGAAAGAAGCTCTTGCTGAGTCTGGCAGTCCTGCACCGCATAGTGCGGTAGCCTCTGCCAGAGGGCAGAAGGCTGAACCTTCCATGGGCAGGGTGGGGTTATAGTTATAATGCAGTAATAGTGGTTGTGAGATAATGTTTTGGACAAGCATTTTTTTATTACAATCATGACAAAGGTATGTAGGGTGTCATATGGCAAAATAGTACCCAATGAAAACTTGTGTTTACTTTATTTATCACTATTTTACCATTATTAGCATTGCATAAAAACTCAGAAGATATATTTAAGCTCACTGGTGGTTTTGGATAGTAAATAAAATGGGTATAATTGTGTTGTAGACATGGCGACCCGTGGTTTCTATCACCACCACTGTAACAAAATGTGAGTCTGTAATTTTCTCTACAATTAACCATTTCATAGCAAACCTCTCTGAATGACTTGCTTAATGTTTATCACTCAGTTATTGAAAAAAAAGAAGAAATTGTAAAACTTTTGTGGAATTAATGTAACTATAGCCAAGGTGGCCCCTTGTAAACTGAAAGGCAATACACATTAACTCTCTCAGGAGTTATATTTTAGCCAAAAATCAAGACAATTTTTACCTTACCTGAAATGAAGTTGACCCTTTATGTGGCTATTAAAATGCTTAAAAAGTGTCATTTAATCTGCCCTTCACTGTGAATCACATTTTTTCTACATTGTTGCTGCCTTTATTTGATATGTACAAGTCTAACAGCTGAAAATGTGAAGATTTTTACTTACTTTGACATAAAAACTGCATTTTTCAACCAAACGATACATTAATAGTAATATAAATAAATACACAGTGATAGAAAACATGGTAGAAAACACACATAAAGCTGATTCAACATGCTGACACGTTTCTCTCTGGCCCAATTTGGACATGCAAATAGTTTTATTTGCGTATTTTTGTTCATTTCTGCTCGTAACATCGCATTCAAGTCTCCAGCAACCACTGAAAGTGGCCACTGCCTTCAGTGAAGGGGTGTACCTGGTCCACAACAATGTGTAAGTATGTGGCACCTGTCAAATTGATGTCCACCTGAGCAGACCCAGGGTTTCCCAGCAGAACATGACCCCAAGCATCACACTCCCTCCACTGGCTTGCCTTCTTCCCATAGGACATCCAGGTGCCATCACTTCCACAGGTAAGCGCCGTTCCTGTGATGTGAAAGAAAACAGGATTCATCTGACGAGACAACTTCTGCCTTTGCTCCAAGGTCCAGTTCTGATGGTCACGTGGCCATTGTAGGCACTTTTGTCGGTGGACAGGGTTTAGCATGCTCACTCTCCTCGGACCCCTCGGACCACTGCCGCTAGGTACTCACTAGTACTGACCAGGAGCTCCCAACAAGTACTGCCTTTTTGGAGATGTTGTTGTTGGCCATAACAATTTGTGCCTTGTCAACATCATTCAGGTCTCCACACCTGCCCATTTCTCCCGCATCCAACACGTCAACTCTGAGTACAGACTGTTCGCTTACGGTCTAATATATCCCAGACCTTAACATGCGACATTGTTATGAGATAATTACTGTTATTCACATTATACGTATGTGTATATACAGGATCATGGAAAAAACAATTTATTCTTTGCTTGTTAGCTACATTAGCCTTGCAACCCCAGTGCAAAACTGAGAATGCAAGCTTCACATTAGAGGTCTGCACTCCCGCATATTCCTGGGAGAACCACCACGGGACTAATTTTCAGTGTTGTGGGTGGGTAACCAGCCCACTGCAGGCGGGAGCGGGACAAAGCATACATGAAGAGAAATCCCATTTAAATTAATAAATAGCCTAAATAAAATAGAACGATCAGTAAATCATGTATATAAACAATTTAAAATGAAAACAGTAAAACACTTAAAATGAATAAAGTCTTTCTAAAGACTTGCGAAGTGACAGATCACATGAACATCATTCTCGTAGTTTACAGAAACGCCAGCCTGACGGCCACAGCTGCCCAGCAAAACACCAAAAATAATGGTCCATGCTTTGTTTTTTGATGGAAATAAATGGCGCCTGACGAAGTTAATTCACAGTGAGCCTGTTGACCATGACCACCGCATTATTTCAGCAGAGAATAATGTAGTCATCAATAGACTGTGTCAAATATCGGATGTCAATTGGCCAAAATGCTTCGGTGGCGGGCAGGAGTGGGAGAAATGATTCTGATTCAGAATCATTTGCTGGCGGGAGTGGGATGAACTCTTGTGGGAGCAGGCGGGAGCGGGACTGTAAAAACAGTCCAGCGCAGACCTGTACTACCTCTACTTTCACTTTAACGGCTGCCGTCAGTGTTGCATTCAGTGAAGCAAATTTCAGCCGACTTGGCAGACTGACTACATTTCAGGTAAGGGAGAAATTGTTTAATTTTCTCTGCGATTTTTTGGATGAACTAGTGCTTGTAGATGTTGTGTACAGGTCTGATGTCTAAATTAGCTGTCACAGGAACGTACTGTATCACTCGCTGTGCTCTGCTCGGCACTGCACTTTTTTAGGAGCGTTCATTATTCCAAGGCTTTACTCTAAAGCTTTACTCTAAACTGTAGCTGCTCTCCCCTCAGCATGACGCAGCTGGGCTGAGTGTGTTGGGGGGGTAGGGGTCCAAGCACCGCAGGCAGCCTATCACAGTTAGGCACATGGGAGTAAATCTCTGTCTTTTTCTCTCTCTCTCTCTCTCTCTCACTATCCGTGCATGAAGCTTTCGCCCCAGCTCGGAAGACTGTTCTCAGCAGAGTATAAGCAACTGTCAAACTGTAATCACCTCCGCTGTCTTGCCTGGTTAAATCCGCTTTAATCACGCCGTGTTTTAGCAGCGAGGGCGAGTAGATTAGGGATCTGCTTCTGGACCATTAGAAGGATTGCTTGGAAGATGATTAGCGGGGGATGGCACGGCAGGGACTTGGTGTCCAGAGCATTGGCGAGCATACGTTGGATATGTGAGACCTTCTTTTTTTAAAGGAAGAAGAGCGCAGCATCGCTTTGGACACAGCTGCATTTAGCTCTGCATTCTGTGACTGGACAGCACTGCCCACTACAAATTGTTCATCTGTGTGTAAGAGGGATCAACAAAGCTTTAGAAGCAACTCTGGATTTAGTTTTTTGCTTTGGTTTGCACAAAAATGTTGTTGTTTTATCATTAGCATTGGCCAGTTGGAGGCTTCGGTGCATGACAACTTCTAGCAAACTTCTGAGCAACCACAATGAACTTCTTCCTCAGAAAAGAACGGCCTCTACCTTCGGCTTTTTGAGAGCAACTTGAGAAGCAGCAATACGGATTGAAATCATTCCTTGTTCGGTCCTGTTTTAGGAACATCTGAAGATGTCCAAGCCGTCTCGTCTGGTCAGACCCTCTAAGCAGTCTCGGAAAGAGCTCCCAGGCAACCGCTCGCAGATGCTGATTGTCGGGGAGAGGCTGATGAGGGCCGGAAGTGAAGGTAACCTGGTGAGACCCAGATCAGCGCAACAGCAGGATCAGCAGCAGCCTGCCCACAGCCAGGACCAGTCAACAAAGATGCTGACCAACCCAGGTATGTGTTCCTGGAGTGTACTTTCAATGAGCATTTACTATTTGCAAATCTTGGATTAAGTTTGAAATGCATCAAAAATGTTCTTCAATAGTTCCGACAAACTACAGTGCAGAGTAGTAATTTAATGGTGGCTGTTCTGCTGCTAGTTTCCTTCTTTGCTGCACAATTAAAGCAAATGTTTGGTGAAAAACTGTCACATTTACACAATTCGCCCCTTATCCCAAATGTACTCAACCACCCAAAACATGCTTGGGTCTAAAGTTTGCTTCTGTAGTGTAACACTGTACATCAGCCTTATATAAAATGGACAAAATTATGGACAGAATCCAAGTTTTATCTGACATTAGTCTGAACATATTATGGCACCGTTCCACCCAGCATGCTCGTCTAACAAGGCCATCCCTGCCCTTTCCTTAAAGCTACACTATGTAAGTTTATGGGGATATAGTGACCTCTTTGGAGGAAATCTGTAGCTGCACACAATGTACAGAAGAATAATTTTGTTGTGCTTCTTCTTCCCTGAGTGGATGAATCTGATGACTATGTGTATTCAAAGAGAACTCAGTCAAACTTAGTAAAGGACTGATTTTGCATTGGAGACCTGAACTTTGAGCTGGACTTGCTTCTGTTTTGCCTGTGCATGTGACACTAATGTATAAAGTCGTATAATATGGTTCCTGACTTAGTAGTGCTACTTCTAACAGCTATAGGGCAGCTACTGTGCTTAAATAATGTAGAAAACTAAAAATTGCAAAAAATGCGCAGATACATGTTTATAGCTACAGTGTACTGGATAAAGAAGTATAATCTGTGTAAAGCCTGACAAGGCACTATTGCACTATTCAAAAACATATTTGTGTTCTGAATAGCTGTTGTTACTTAGATTTTTCTTATTGAAAAGCGCTTTGCTTATTTCTTTGTTTATTTGTCTTATAAAAATGGACGAAAGTATGGACAAAATTCAAGCTTCAGCTGTTTATCTGATATTAGTCTGAACAGATTACACATGACACTGTTTCACCCAGCAGGCATCTAACAAGCAAGGCCATTATCTACCTTTCCTTAAAGGTACACTATGTAAGTTTTGGGGATTTAGTGACCTCTCTGGTGGAAATCTGTAATTGCACACAATGTACAGAAGAATAGTTTTGTTGTGCTTCTGACTTGGTAAAGTGTGTTTTGATGATGCTGCCATAAGGGATCTGTTCCCACATGCACAAGATTACAGTAAAGATGAAGTTGTACTGATGTAAACATCACATTATTTCCAATCTTACTGTTTAGACTGACACATTGGACACATATCGGATGTGTATCGGGTCATTTACACTGTGTCACATATGAAGAAAAATTTCAGATTTATTTGTAGTGTCACATTTGTAGTGTCACATTTATTTACTTGTCACATTCACTGTTTTTCACTGTTCACACTTCCACACAAAAATCAAATGTGTGACACATGAAGAAAAAGATTCTTTCTATGAATGTCACCTTTGTAAGCATCTATAAACACATTTATAACATGTTATAATGCCTTCATACGGCATTATAAACATGATTATAAACATTTATAAAAATGAATTACACTGAATTACACTTTATAGCCGTGTTTATTATACATTATGAATTGTTAATATAATGCATTATAAGTAGTGTTTATAACATGTTATACTGTCTGTGCCAAAGAAGTCAGTCCCAGCTTGGAGAGCGTAAAGTAAAGACAAATACCAAGCTAACGGTGGTGTACGATTTGATCAACACGATTTGAGACAAGTATATGATGATTTAGGCATGTAGTAATAAACTTCAATGATTAGTAGCTACTTTAGTCTTGTAGCTCCAAGGTAAAACTGAAAAAGCAAACTACCGAAAATGTCCTGGCTGATCAAAAATATTTGGGTTTTTTTTTGTTGTTTTTTTGATATAGCATCACTGTAGTGGTTGAAGTCAATGTTGCACTTAGTGTATTTGATTTGGTTTTAAAGGCTTAATATAAACATATATATATATATATATATATATATATATATATATATATGTGTGTGTGTGTGTGTGTGTGTGTGTGTGTGTATTTAGTAAACAACCTGTTTTAAAGTTATTGTTTTTGATATCACAAAAAACTAACACACATGCACACACACACACACACACTCACAGTATGTACATACATTGGTCTTAAGGCACAGCGTGTTTAGTTCTAAAGGATAAAAAGAGTCTGTTAAAAGGTCAGGTAAATGATTGTTCATAAAACCACACAATTGTGTTTAATGGACCCTGGGAAAAATTAAGAAGGATATGGCCCTTTAAAGTGATTTGACTCAGACACTCAGCTGCATTGTGGGTTTAGATGACGCTGTGTGAGGAGCACGGGCCAGGTTTTGTCCAGCACCCCTGACGGCAGCACACGGGCACGTGTCTGCATTGTCCCTCTGATGCCCCGCATGTATGGGGGGATTAGCAGGGCCGTCTCTGTCTTTGCTGATCAGATACATTCTCCTCTTCGTCGTCACATTCCATTCATCTCCTGATCTCATTAGAACTGATCAAACCACTCAAATCGTTGGGAGCTCTTGCTGACCCGTTCCCAACGGCTACCAGGAGGTGAGTACAGGTGGATTTCTCACTGTCTTACCCTCGTATCATTTCTGAAAGGGCTTTTTATTCAGTTGTTTATCTTAAGATTTGTTATTCAGTAACTATTAAGTTCTGTAGCTATGAGTTCACAGTGGTGGTGATAGGGACCAGATTTCCGAAGCACTTAACATCTCCATAAGCTACCTCACATAAAGTTGTTACACGAAATGGTTACGAATATGCTGCCTGATGCTTGTTTTACAATATTTTTCAGATAAGGTTTTGGGCCTAAAGTGTATTTTTAAAAATCCCTTTATAATGCAGAGGCACATGCAGGGTGTTGTAAGGTAAAATAGCACTTTTTTTCCTTTTTTTTGGGACTTGACCAGTATTTTACCTTTGTCAACATTACATATTAAAAGTCAGAAGACATTTGTAGGTCCACTTCTGCTTTTGGACAGTAATGTCATTGATGATGTCTTTGATGTATCCATGTCTGCCACTGAATTATGCATAAATTTAGAAAATTACTTTTTATGCACTTCACTCAAGCCTTTAAAGTCATAAAAAGTAAACTCTACTACTACATGGTCAGAAAAAAGGGCACTGTGCAGATAAATTTTGTTCACAAGGGTCCAAAAATGAAGGTCTTTGAACTCTGCCTTAAATGCAGTAACCACTGTTAAAAATGTTTGAACTTGCAGTTGCGTAGATCAAAAAACCACTAGACATGGCAAAATTAACCAAATGACTTGCACACCAAAAATGAGGCGTCAAAGTTGATTCATTTTTTAAAGCTGAGATATCAAGAGGCTTTCCTTGAATTTGCCTGACATAAATGCAAAGAGCACAAGTGAAATAAAAACAAGGCAGCAAATGTTTCAGTCAACAGACTTTCATCAGACAGTCAGGAGTAAATAAATACAGGAACTGTAGTCACACCTGAATCAGGGGTGTGGCTTATGGCATTACTTTTGTGAATCAGCTGAATCAGGTGTGTTGGATCAGGAAATCATTGAATCTAAGGTGCTGTGGGTCGAGGGAAATAATGCAGCGCAGACTTAAACACGGCGAAGAGTGGAAAATACCTCTGATTACTGACAGCTACAAGTTACTGCTGCCATAAGATAGTTTAAAGACAGTAATGTTTAATCACTAGAAAAGAAATCAACTCAACTCGTCATGATTGGCTGTATGTTCTGGGGTTATGAAGGCTGTTCTCTCAGTCACTGAAACAGGCTTCCTATCTCAACATGCTAGTTTACAGGATGCTGCTGCTCCAAATCTCTGTCTTCACATTAATACGGTGAACTAACTTTAGATATTTATTATATTTAGCAATTTAGTCCAATTTTCTGCATGACCGGCCTAGTTAGCCCTAGAGGACACTGCTAGGCTAGTTAGTGTTATCATCTGCAAACTTGAAAGGTGGTGCAGCTTTGTTCATTCATAAACAACTAAGTTGGTTCTTCAACGGCCATATTAAGTTGTATTGTTTTACCCAGGTGAACACAGGACCCATTAATTTGTGTAACATTAATAACTTAAAAGGAATATGATAAACATTGCTCCTAATTTCGGATATGCCAACAAAGCTCTGCACTCAGAGCAGCACTCAGTAGGACATATTCCGCCATGCTGGGGGTGGTTCATTCTGAGTGGTTACGTGTTCAGAAGACATGTCACTCCAAATCAGTTGAGCAATACAGAGTGGAGATGAATGCCCTCTTCTGAGACCCACCCCTGTAAAAAGTGCCAGAAGCAAAAGAAGATTCCAGAAGCAAAAATACATCAACAAAATCAGCAGATAGAAAAATTAAAGCAAAAATGAGTGAAAATTAGTGTTTTTTTTGGTCAAAAGTGAAGTTTGATTTAACTCTCAAATTTGTATTTGCAGCATATTTTGGACATTTTGATACTTAATGGATTTTATTATTTTATCTGAAACTTTTGGCACAAAATTATCTCCATAGTGGCCTGTTGTACCACCCAATGACTAATGAGGGACAGTAAGAAAGACAAAGAAGCTGGACCCTTAGAATTAACCCAATATCCAATTAATGGTTTACCTAGTAAAGAAAAAAAACAAAAAAAACAAAAATACAAAACAAACAATAACAAAAAAGTAAGACCAATTCAAAGTTTCATTGAGCCCAAATAGATGTTCAGATGTCTTAGGTTCCAATAGTCTTAAGTGCCAACTGTCCACCTTAAATGAGTTGTAAAGCCATACTACGTACACTTTCACCTCTCCATAACCAAATGTTTTAAAATGCCGTGTCTAGTTTAGAGTCCTTCATCTGAGGACATCACGGAATACAGCACATGATGTTTGATTCATTATAAAAAGCCAGGGGCATAGCCATGGGTATCTAAATTTATTTTCTAAGGGTATGCGGAAGAAAGCTCATTAATATTCATTAAGC